CCTCAACAGTCTGCAGAATCCCCTAACTGATTACACTGTAAGTGGTAATCCACGTTAACCCCAACTGTGGTTAAGCATCAACGACTGCCCGACAACTGATACCCTGAGGTGGGCACCAACCACTGCCCTTAAGGTACCTATGGCAAAAGTCAAAGCAGACTATCACTCACCCACACCAGATGGAAAACTCTACAGACTGTCGGTTCACACCCCATCACAAGCAAGTATATATATATCGTCAAATAGAACTGCCCGGTAAACCGTAGGCAGAGAGGGAGAAAAGGACAACTAACGAGGGGCTGTGACAAACTGTTTCGTCGGAGTTTCACCGACTCATCAGGATATATATATACATATATATATATATATATATACATATATAGATATAGATAGATAGATAGATAGATTAATATTTTTACTAGAAAGATCACAATCTCATCTATATTATCGTAATTTTTCTAGGCTACCAGAGTGGCCCGGGGTCACTTGCCCGGCTGGGCCAAAAACAATTAAAAAATAGAAATAAAAATAAAATAAAAATATTTTTATTTTTTATTTTAAATTTGCTGCAGAATTTCTATGCGACCCTGGGGCAAAACCTGTTCAGTTTATTTTTTTGCATAACATAGTTTTTTTTTTCGGATTTTTTGGATTTTTTTTTTTTTTTTTTTTGGCTGGGACGTTCCCTGGTCCTTGCACGAGCTGGTCACCCAGGACCCAGGCGGCCCGGCTGGTAGCCTAGTAATTTTTCAAATTTCTTCTTTAATTATTCTGAAAGCGAAAAATTGCCAAAGTTGACGCTTTAAAATCCCTGGACTGGACCCGCCTAAACCTGCCAATCGCTGCCCCCCCCTAAGAACCCGATTCCTTAAGGCCAGGAAGGGTGAATTTAGGTCGGCCGGGGTAGTGGTGGCTTAAGAGGGACAAGCGCGATCGAGCGCATCGATCCCTAAATCCATAGCTTGAAAGCCCAATGTCGTAACCTGGAGTGTTAGGCCGAAGGCTGATATTAACAGCCACAGAAACCCATAAGAAAATGTATCGTTCGGCGCGTGGGCTTACCAAACCACACCAAGGCTACACCTTCGCCTACGGGTCGAACCCACGACTGCCAAGTTTCGCAATTACCGAGCGGAGGCTCCACCCGTGGTTTTAGTCCACCACTTACTTCTTTTCACCGCATTGACATTAAAGTCGTCCTCCGCATGAGCGCAAGCGCACCATGGTCATATGTAGTGACCAACCAAATTTATTACTTAGCCCTAGTTTAATAAAAAATCAAAGATTAGTTGATGGATGCACAAACTCTATAACATCAATAAGAAACATCATGCGCGTCTCCAAACTGAGCGCCTACACATTCTTTCCTTTCAGACAAACATTTAGTCAGCGTAAGAGAAAATACAGTCGCAATTCGCATAATGCACTCAAATTTCAAGTCAAAATTTATTTTTTTGCACTTGCACAAACTAGGCCGGATACCCTTGTAAGGGTATTCACACCGAGAACTTACCGGACCATATTAAGCGACGTCCCTGTCGCTTCGAATAATCAAAAGTTACCAATTCAACCATAAATCAAATGCTGATGAGAAAAAAATCAATTTGATTGGTCGAATGACTCCAATTCAAGGGCTCTATCGATCAGTGTTAGGCATGACTTAAATGCTATCTGGAGTTCAATATGGGTCTCCTTCGTTCTGACATCAGATGACGGTATACTGGCTACGTACTACAACATAAAGTTTGAGTGGTTATAAAACTCTCGATAGTCCTTTCCCTTTTGTTATAGACATCGTCGGCTCATTGTTGGATGTCATAATTTAGTCGTCGTTTCGCATGTGGGTTTATAACCTAAGACGCGGGTCCTAGCCGATATCTTTATAAGGCAGTCTCACCTTTTTCATAATATATCAACAAAAGTATAAATTATAATCACAAATCTCTCCTACAGTCTAGTACAGGAGGCTTAGGTCTCCATTTTTGTCCACCATAGTCTGGTTGATCGATCCAAATCTACGACCCATCGCGTCGTTATTTTAGCGACGATACTTTCGTTGATTGGACAACGATATATCACTTTTCCTAATAAAAATGTATCATGACTCAAATAAACGACAGACTCGTATCCCTCCCACATCCCGCGGGAATAAAACTCTTTGAGGCGGCCACACCTGTCTTGCCTCACCCTTTTGTGAGACGTGGGTCCGCTGCCAAGTTGCGCTGGTCAGCAGCCAACACTAGGGGTTACACCCTAGTGACGCTAAGAACTGCTCTTTAGTTGAGCATCATCGTGCATTTCTTAAGATTAGCATCACAGTGGTTGAATTGTGTGTCGTAATAAACTCAAGCCTATAGCGGGACTACGCAGAGGTCTGTTAAACTTAAATGTAATTACCAACTCCCTATGCGACAACATAGAGGGCACAACGTCCTTTCCGAAAAAATAAAATTCACCGCTTGATCCACAAGGTCGTGGCCTCCCACTTGATCAGAGCAAAATAGACCACACATCTTAAAAATCATTTCTAAAAAAATTCACCATATTTGCAATATTCCAAAATTTCACCACTAAAAGATTCATAAATTCCTTTGGACTTTAACACTATTATACCAAATCAAACTGCACTCCCCCTTCTTTTACTTTATTCTCGTATCTGTCCTTACAACAGATTGCGTAAGTATATAGAAGAGTAGACAATTTACACCTCTCGCATTCGTAAAACACACGAAATGTATCATGTGCATATCTCACACAAACATCATCATAGACTGGGATAAGTCCACACATGTGAGAATGATTGTGATCGCCATTTAAAAGAGATAATCTCAAAATCTCAATATACACTCAGAGGTGGGGACCCCAACTCGAAAATTGTAAAAAAAAAAAAAAAAAAAAAGTAGCAACCCACACATGTACTCAAAGTTGAATAAACTCAACCCAAAATGGAACAAGGTAGCTAAATTCCGACAGTACCTGCAGAATCAAGAGCAGTCGAGGAGGAGAGGCGTGGAGCAGCGTGATGGATCGACGGGTGTCCCAACTCAAGATTAGCATCATCAACAACAATAACATGACACAGACTTGTCTCACATACCAGGACATCCAGATCGAGATTGTGATTAAATTCGTAGACGCTGACTATCACAAATTCGACCACATGCTATCAAAAGAAGAGTTCACTCGAGTTCCTATGACAAAAGGTCTCATCGATCGCACAAGCAGAACAATGTACTCGAATGTACGTAAAGCGAAAGGTTCCCTGCAATGGAACAGTCAGGCGGACTTGAGGCTTGACCCGTCTGTCATGCCTCTATAGGTCCCTCGGGCTGATTGGTCGATCGACAATCCCCAACACATGGGCCAGATCGGATCTGAGCAAGGAGAACAAGTGTATCAAACACAAAGGACGTCTTGGTTAGATTCTCAACATTGGGCAGATCCGCCATCGCAATTGGAAATAAAGATTATTCCAAACTACTATGATCAAGGATACGAGTCTGCATTGATACCCAGACACGTGGTTATATCGATATCATGACACGTGGCTAAACCTTGTCATCTACAAGCGATATATCCAACTGTGTCGTATGATTGGAGAGATCTGGCAGCACACCTAGGCTATAATGAGCAACTACAACCGCTTTCATGGAGAAGGCACAATTGTACATATCATAGCCGGATGGGAAGGGGCGAGAGTGAGGATTGGAGACAGTCAAAAAGAGAGGAGAACTGGGCGCATATAGAAGTGGAAGCTAATGAGAGAATAGCTTCAAAAGCGGGGTCAGTGTCACTAAAGAACTTAGGCTTGATGACGATCTCATTTCTTTGTTGACGTAGCTGCTTGAGCCCCACCCAAGGGATCGTCCATGGTGTTGAATGTTGGGTCCTGGCATGTGAGGGGTTTGCCTGATACAGTTAGCGGTCTAATGGGGATGCAAACACGAGTCCGTGGTTAGACTGCTCATGTGTGTTGGTTACATTAGGCTCTGCTTTGTGGGGGCGAAGGACCTTAGGTGGGATGGGGTCCCGTTTGGGGGGAGGGTTGGCTTGGGACAAACTTTGCTGAAGGATATCGGCACGAAGATCAGAATCACCATCAAGAAAAAAAAGATATCATGATGTAGGATAGGGGTCAGTGCAGAACGCCTGCCCTCAGAACCACACGTGACAGTTTCCCGTCATGCAGCTCGCCCCCCAAAACCTTAGCCTTGTTTGTGGGCTCGGGAAGGGAAGCTGACAAACAGCTTCGCTTCGCGCCTTCCGACTCTTAATTGTCCGGAATCAATCTCACGTGTAGCTAGAGTATTGATTTCCTGACCTTGCACTGTGCTCAGCAGACGCTTCGCGTCTGATCTGATGCCAGATAAGAGAATCGCAGATATCTGGAAAAAGGCTAGAGGTGTGTCTTGTCTAGGCTGAGCACTTCGTGCCGTAGCTATGCCCCGGTAAGAGGGGTGCTCGAAAATGGACTCTGGTGGAGGAAATCGTTGGGGTTGTTTGAGGGGGATCCTCCAAGATAGGATGGTTTGTGTCCCATAAATTAGTCGCTGACTGTAGATAGGTACCTGTCGTGGGTCCAGACACCGTCCTCTACAACACCCTGCAGTTAAAAATGGAAAAAAAAAAAAAAAAATCCAGAGAATCCAGTTTACACTTCTCGTGAGGCAGCCTGGTAATTTTTGTGGTTGATCGCAGAGAGAGGTTAGTATACGACACCGTATTGCCTCTCGGCCAGGGAGGAGCCCTAGCACCGGCCGACGCTAAGCGCTCCGCCGTTACGTAACATGTTTTGGTTTCGGCAGAACCCGAGCCACCGCCCAGGGAGTTACCGTCGAAGATAGCTTCCTGGTTCCTTGCACCGTCACCACCGTTGAGTGGTGGATATGGTGGGTTGACCCAACCATAGGCTGCAAGGTAAGGTGGGGGATTCCCTCCTCCCTCAGGTCGTTGGAGAATCTAGAACACGAGTGCATTGAGGAACGCTTAAGTAAGAACGTGGTAGTTAGGGTAGGAGTAAGAACGTGGTAGTTAGGGTAGGAGTGAGAGTGAGAACGACACAGAAGTAAGACACATGGAAGGCGAAGCAATGGAAGGTGAGGTAAGACAGGAGGGGACAGGTAGATCCCCACCTCCAGGGCCACAGGAGGAAAGAAACTATTGGGAGGATGAGGATCGAATCAGAGAGCTATTAGCGCTCTGTTTCGATGATGGGATCTACCCCACGGAGATTGATCCAGGAGAAATGACGGTTGAAGGGAGGGAAGTGCACTTTAAGTTAAATACTTCGCTAAATGATATCAAGGTGAAATGGTTGAAGGAGCGAATTGTAACCGTAGTGTACAAGGATGTTGCACGCTTCTTGCCGAAGAACATCAAGGATGATCTGGTCAAGGCCTTCGAAGATGGGTGGATCTTGGGCAACGAGCAATTTGCAGAAAATACAAGGAGAGGGAGGGTTAAGGTGGAAGGACCAAGCCTTGTATCCTATGTGGCGAAGTCCCCAGTAGTGGCACGATATATGATCAATGAAGGAAGCTTGGTGATCCTGCTGGGGTCAAAGGAATACAAGGTCCTCTTCAAGCCATGGATGACGCGAGCCGAGTTTCGAGAGATGAGACGTCAAGAGGATGAGAACACGTTCTGGGTAATTGCGGTGCAAGTGCCTTTGGACGATATGCCTTTCATCCACGCCCAGATAGAGAAGGCAATTGGGCCAATAATAAGAGCATATCCAGCAGATGCAGATCCGCAGCGCCGACCTTGGTGAACGAGATATTTGACCTAGATCCGGCCGCCCGTCCAAATATGAAGGATAAAATATGGATTGAGACCCCGTCTGGCCCGGGGGACAAGATGGAGATTGGCTTGGCCACGTCAGGTACAATGAAGTGCAATAAGTGCAGACAATTGTTTCATACCAAAGAAGATTGCTGACGGGGGCGGCGCCGCCCAAACCAAGCCTCAGCAAGTGCGACTCAGGCACTCCGAGGAGGATCATCGAATCGTCAGCAGCCACAGGAGAACTCCAGACAAGAAGACGCAAGGCAGCAGTATCAAGGTGTACTCCGTCCGAGCACAAGAAGCACATCCGGTCGTGAGTCATGCATCTTCGATCAGGAACAACCCGACGTTCTCTCCGCTTGGAGCGTGGGGTCAAGGCACTGCCTACCCAGGCCCTGGCGTGGAAGTGGAACCATGGGGGATGCCGCTTCAAGGTGGAGGAGGCCATCTCGGCTTGGGGCAAGGCGTATTTCCTCCAGGATTCTGAAGCGGCCAGAAACTACTATTATTGGGTGGCGATGGCTTTGGCAAATAGGGGTTTTGTAGACCTGACGGGGGCCCTACCTCATCAGGGAAATGTGTTCAGAGGCCAATCGAACCACCCGGAAGGAGGGGGTTTATCCCCTTTCGGCCAACAAGGTGGGGGTGCATCACCCCTCGGTCAACAAGACGGAGCCACACAAGGAGAAGACATGCAAGCGATCAGACAGGAGACGGGACAAGTAGATGGACGAACGAGCACCGCCACATCTATCCCGGTGCGCCCACAGACTTCGGGGGTTATAGAAGGAGGTCCAAGCAACTTGAGGGCGAGATTGGATCAAGATCAAAAGAGCACTCCGAGCCGCTCGAGGGGGAAGTCAGCTGGGAAGCAGCGAAGACTAAGCTTCTCAGGACAAGAATTGCTACAAGAACAATCGAGGGTGTCAATAAGTGATTCAGATTTTTCAGTCAGCCACGAAGTAGGGATTGTCACACCAGGAAATAAAACGACTCGAAACAGAAGACTGGTGTCTACAGCAAGGGGAGCAACAGTGGATATGCCTCAGTACATAGTTCCGCTACTTTGTACGGCAACAAGGAATAACCTGTGGGTGGTTACGTAGCAACGAGCGGTCGAACCACAACTCTTGTTTGGACAACAAGTGACGGACTTGCCGTCATTAGTAACGGTGGAGGAAACGGTGAGAGCGCTTTACCTGGGATATTTCCCTACGAGGGTGATCCCGGACATTCCAATGGTCAGGATCATCCATGGTCCAAGCGGAAGTAAGATTACGTTATTCGTGCTAATTGTTGATGCTCGGCTATCGGAAGCAAAAATGGCGGAAATGGAGCTGCTCGGTCTGCGCCTAACACCGCTTTCGACGTTTGCAGAAGCTAAACGATAGGAACTTTGCAGGTTGGCGATCTCCCCCCTCTTGATATCAGCAGAGTGCTTGACGGAGTTGAGGATAAGATTTCCAAAGGAAAGGAAATTATACTCTCAATTTCTCAAGACTATGCTGACTCAAAACTGGCCACAGGAAGGCACTTCATTGTCCCAAAGAGCAGCAGGGGAACAAAAATAGGAATGGTTAAAGTGAGGATTTCTTCGTGGAATCTGCAGCGCTTCGGGGATACCGGAGGCAGTAGGAAACGGAGTAGGTTCAGGGCTTGGATGCATGAGAAGAGGGTGTCGATCGCGTGTGTGCAAGAGACTAAGTTAAATTGTGAAAAGATCAATCAGTTGGGGGCATGGTGGGGCGGTCCCCAAATATGGGCAGCGGCGCAAGGGACGGGGGGGGGAGTAGGGATCTTGGTGCATCGAGATCTAGATGTCGAGATAATGGATTATTTTGCGGACCTTTGGGGCCGCTGGGCTTGGATTGTGGTGAGGACAGATGACATTTTGTGGGCAGTAGTCTCAGTGTATGCACCAGTGGATAGAAAGTTGAGAATCCGCTTCTTTGAGGAACTACAGGTAATCCTACCAGACGTTGAGAATATGGTTATTGCTGGGGACTGGAACACATCCTTGGATGCGGTCCCGTCCAGAGAACGAGGATGCACGAGGGATGCGCTGGAACTGTTGGATCTCATGTCTGAGTGGGATCTGAGGGACTCATACCGAGACTTGCACCCGGTAGATTAAGGATTCACATGGTTCTCAGCGAAAGACAAGGGCAAGAGACTCGACTACTTCCTGTTGGCAAGCCTAGCGCAAGAGGCAGTAATGGAGATTGGACAAGCGAACAACCTAGTATCAGATCACAAGCCGGTGATTGCTGTTTTGTAAATGGGACCAGAACTGCAAAGAGGGAGGGTTTTTTTTCGGCTGAATATTAAAAATCTGGAAAATTATAAGTTCAATGGATGGACTCAACAGTTCTGGACAAGATGGAGAGAGCAGAAAGGAAACTTTCCTACTCTTGCAGAATGGTGGGAGGGAGGCTCACGCATCCTATCAAACCTGCTCAATGTGTGCTCGAGAATACTGGCGTTGCAACGTAATAAGGAGGAAAGGAGATGCTGGAAAAAAGTGGAAGAGGCAGAGCGGAAGATGAGGGAGCATCCTATATCTGAGCTTACATGGGGGAGGGAGCGTGCTCGCAGGTTAGCTGAGTGGGATCGTCTGCAACAGGAAAAAACGGACCAATGGGCGGAAAGACTCAAGGTTCGGGGGATTGAGGTCTACGACCGAATATCAAAAGAAACCTTCCAAAAGCTTATGCCATCGAAGACAGCGCATGCAATGAAGGAGCTCAAACATCCATTTGAGCCAGAGGAATATGTGACAGTGGAGTCAAAACTGATGTGTGAATATGCGGCAAAGTACTTCAGGGACATCTTAACATCACGTCGGCCGGAGGAAGGGCCAGACACGGACCTGGACCAGAACACAGACCACAGGGTGAATACCAAGTGCAGGCTACCTACATATGCGAAGCTGGACCTCGACAGACCGGTCACGGAAGAAGAGGCACTTCAAGCACTAAAAGCTATGGCGAAGGGGAAGACACCCGGTAACGATGGACTTCCCACTGAGTTTTATCGGAAGCATTGGGAGGTCTTTGGCAAAGACCAGGTGGAGATATATAATGAGATCCTGACTGGGGGGAGTCTCCCGACTAGCGTTTGCAAAGGCATTATCTCCATCCTGTTCAAGAAAGGTGATATGAACGAAATAAGGAACTGGCATCCTATTTCGCTCTTAAATGTATTATACAAAATTCTGGCCAAACTGCTGGCCAGAAGACTTGGAAGATATCTGTCATTGCTGGTGCAAGATGATCAGGCGGCGTTTGTCAAAGGTCGTTCAATATTTGACAACATAGTAACGGTGATCGAAGTATTGGAGGTTGTTGGGAAAGAAGATTTGGATGTGGTGGTGGTGCTCCTTGACATGGAAAAAGCGTACGACAGGGTCAACTGGTCGTACGTTTTGACTACTCTGCGATGGATAGGATTTGGCGATGCCTTCTGCACCTGGGTGATTGCCTTATGCTCGTTGTCCACTGCGTCAGTATTGGTGAATGGCTACTTGTCAAAACCATTTCCCCTATCTCGCTCACTTAGACAGGGATGCCCTTTGGCTCCTTTGCTTTTCGTTGTCCATCTTGAGGTCCCGTTGAACAACATTCGTGCACACACAGATGTAAAAGGTCTTTTGTTGGATAGCAAGACCTGTACAGTCAAGACGCTGGCTGATGACCTCTTCGCAGTATCCAAGAACACCAAGGATTCAATGGGTGCACTCCAATACTGTCTTCGGCAATACGAGCAACTCTCGGAAGCCTCTATTAATTCGTCGAAATCAGCGTATTTCCTCCCAAGCAGATTTGAGCCAGCAGTGGAGTGAGGCATGAAATGGTTGAAAGGGGCAGACTCAGAGCGATTTCTAGGAGTACTGATTTCCCTGATGCCAAGTAGAACTCAACAAGATCAAATCATTCAATAGAAAGTGATGCAAAGAACTTCCATTTGGGGAAAGGCACCTCATTTGTCGCTGTTTGGTCGAGCCCTCGTGGTGAACGCAGCCCTCTTCGCACTGTTATGGTTTGTTGGGAATGTTAGGCCGGTAGGAAAGAAGACTCTGACTGTAATAAGGAGGAAAACAGCGTGCTTCCTTTGGTGCCCATTTGCAGAAGAGGAGGAAGGAGTAATGCCTAAAGTGGCCTGGGATTTAGTATGCGCCCCAAAACCAGAGGGGGGATTGGGACTGGTAGAGCCAGGGAGGAGGATGAAGGCAATGTTAGCACGATGGGTGGTTAAGGCTATCTGCACACAAGGAGATGAGCATTGGATCCGACTAGGTGAGAGGATCCTGGGTAGGGAGTCAAAACTGTCCAGGGTGAAGGATGTCTGGACCTGTGTATGGATTGACTCCTTCCTCAGAAGGAGAGTTGCATCAGAATTTTGGTCGGCGGTGCTACAGGCTTGGAAAGAAGTCAAACCTGATATGGTTTCTCAGCCCATTACAAAAGAAGAGGTGTTGTTCCATATTATTTTCGAAAACCAGCATATTAGGAAAGCTGACAGTCATATGTTTATGGCAGACACTGCGACAGAAAGCTTTGGGAGAGTTTGGATTCCAAAGGAGTGGTGAGATTAAGGGATTTATGGAACTCAAAAGAAGGGAGATGATATTCTGAGAATGAACTGAAGCTGGTACTGAAAAATTGCAGAGGAGTGGGGGTTAATTGCTAGGCTATCATCAATGCTCTACCGCTCGAATGGGTCTGGCTGCTGAGCCCAGAAGGTGTAAACCCACCTGGTACTTGGTACTCGGTTCATTGTCCGACGGGTGAAGCAAGGTACCTGAAGCTATTGGAGCTGTCAGTCAATGGAGGCAGAGTGTTCCAACAATGGAAGAATCAAAAGGGCTCTGCCTCTCGCCTGCAACTGGAGGAAGATTCAGACATACGAGTAACGGTTCCACAAGGCCCGATAACAGAAGTATGGGTGAACGAAAAGGTGGACGACGCAGGAAACTGGACAGTGGAGCTTTGGGCAGCAGGGGTACCAATCTCACAGCTGAGAGCTGACCCAAAACAGTGGGCTTGGAGAG